AACGCTAGAGCAGCCAATGAGAACACAGACATCATTGCAGTAATGTACTTGGTTGCTGCGAATTGCATGCACCAGCTGGGAAATCAGTGTACCAGATGACATTGAAGAAGGTAAGAGAGTATATATTACTTTTACTATACCTGTCTACGTTGAAGGTTTATCCACTACTTCAACGTCTAGGGCGGCCGCAGCCGAGACGACATCAGCACCACCGCCGCCACAGTCGGTCGCAGCATCCAGGTGTTCTACCGGCGCGGCCGCCGAGCCAAGGACAACGACGCGACCGCCGACAGGGACGTCCCATCCTCCGCCGCCGCCCGTCGCTGCAGGTACCGGTACGTCCCAACCACAATTGACAATTTGGGACGATCGAGGGAGGCCGCCGCCATTTTCACCAACAGCGACGCCCAAGCCACCTCAAGTGGGACCGCCGCTGCCCCGATCGCCGCGATTGTCGTCCTGTATGTAGTCTCCGTTGCCCCGATCGCCGCGATGGTTCCTTCGCGGACGCTGCGGCCTTGAGGGTCTGTTCGTCCGATGTCTTGACGCCAATAGGGGGCGTATGCCTGTGGGAAGTCTCGGCGGCGACATTCGGCTTGTTTTCTTTGTCGGCGACGGCGGGCCGTACGCGACTCGACTTCCGCGAGCAACGGCTGGCCCGCCGCTGGCAACGGGCGCAAAGACACATCGCAGATGAATGAGAACTGCATTCGATCGATAATAGAACAAGGTGTTTAGTGTAGCGGTTATACCGTTTGGATTCGTATCGAAATGTTGCTGTTTCGATTCCCACAAGAGTAACCTATTTCAAACAACAAGCTTGAAAGTGAAATTTAACTTACTTTTACAATACCTAACTCACATGCAATTTAGTCTGTTACAACTAGAGCGCCCGATATGGGAACACGTTCACTGGCGTAGCTGTTAGAGAGTCAGAACGCGAACCGGCCAGTCGCGGGTTCGAGTTCCACTCAGTGCTAAAGTTTGTTGCAAAAAATACTTTTGTTCCATATTCTATTTACAGGGACTGCGATGTTCAAGCAAGAAGACACTGGACTTAGATGGAAAATTGACGATACATCGTGTTCATTTACATGAAGACAACCTATTGTAGGCCGTTGGCGGCAGCAACGAAACAATAAGCCGCATTGTGCGGCGAACTGCTCCGGCCGCCGCCTTTTCGGCCACCGGCTCTTCGACCGCCTGCTTCTTGATCTATAGGAGATCGAGGAAATTCATCGCTCTTGGCCTGCTTTCGTTCTTTTTTTTCGCCTTATTGATGTCGCTCCCTCGGTCGATCTTACCGTTGGCCTTGAAGAGTCCCTTGGGTTGGTAGTAGCGGTGGAACTTGTCCCAGCAATCCCAAGAAACCCAGGGGCACAAGTGCTCGGCGACCACGGTTTGGTCGCCGCCATGCGCCTTTGTGCACAAGTACACTTCGTGAACTGGACATCTTTGCGTCTTGATCACGCACAAGTTCGGTTCGAATGCGCATTCAGCGCAATAACGCTGCATACTGTTCTCTTGTAG